AACATCACAGATGAAAAAAGAAAAGTATTTATACGTCATCCGACAATACAGACTTACACTTTTTATATTTAAATATTAATCTGGAGCACATTTGTTTTCAGTACTTCACTTTAGCAGTCTTGGTAATAATTGATTTTGCTTTGTTCATTACATTTGATTAGGCAATTTGTAATCTACCAACTCCTATAACTAAAGAGATTTGTTGTTTGTCTATAACTAGTTCTTTATCTTAAATGCTGACTCATTAAAGTTCTTATAATAAACTACTGTATCGCTTAAAGTAGGAAGTTCCTGGGTTCAGCTCAGGCCTTTTGCTTTTCAAACCTCTCATTGTGTGTTCACAGATGTTTCTTCCTGCAATTCGAAGACATGCAAACTCACAAACTCTAACCTGCCTTTGAACATCAGTGTGAATGTTTGTCTTTGTGTTTTATCGCTGTGATGTCTAGGGGCATGGTCCAGCTTATTTCCTCTTCCTTCAGAATTTCTTTGATGGGGTCCAGCTGTGCAGAAACTGAATAGGATAAGTGGGAGTAGAATTAATGATTGAGAAATGACATTTGGGAACACACTGTGTATAGACATAGACATTTGCCTTCTTGGTGCTTTTCCAAAATCAGGGAAATCAGGTGATATGAGCTTTCCTATTGGAACTAACACTGGCAGCCACAGTATCCCAGTTTCGGTTCTTATCTTATCTACACTGTAGCTTACTCATTTTAGGGGCAGCTGAACCCATGTAAGGCTTAATTTTCTCGATGAACTGGGAGACTTGTGTCCATTGTGTTCTAAAGTGGTGACTTCACTAATTGGCCCAACTTAGAATGGCGTCAACGTGAAAAGCAATGGCGTAAGTGATGACAGTTTTAGTCTGATAACCTGTCTCAGTTTGGATTTTTCCATTGCTACACTTCATTTTAGTGCATGGATTTCAGTGGGCTAGGATAATGTCATCTCTCAAGCTGGTAACTGCAAACTTATTGGTAAATTCTGATTTCAGCAAAATCAAATTAAAAGGCCCCAAATAGAGCGTAGAACTGCCTTAAGGGGCCGTTTTGAGGCACTGGGGTTCAGTCTAATTTATTGGTAATTTAAAGGTGGGCTAACAATGGTGGGTTTGAATTTCATCACCTAGAAATGCAGCACTCATTTATGTATTCTTGCGCATTAAAATCATAGTTTGTGCTGTTTTTTCCCAGTTGGTGTGGCTTTGAAACTAAATTAGTATTTAAAGAATTAAAAATGGCCTTATTGTAAATAGCTATTATCATAAGTCTTGTTAAGGCTTTTACATTGAATCCACTGCCTGCTGTCACCTATGCTTGCAGTCAGATATCATTTATTACACTATCATTAAGAGACTCTGAACAGTTCCATAAAAATGGTCTGTGTTTGACTCGAATGTACTTATACATTCGAGTAGAAACTGATAATTGGTAGAAGTGGAGCATAAACTTTGTTAAATTTACAGTAATTTACTGTAACAGAACAAACAAGAAGGGATCGACTTTAAGTTGTCTTAAAAAATGATAATAGCCCACATTTAAAACTTAACTTTATAACTTCTTTTTTAGACCATAAGTACATAAGCATAAGCATTAGTTTTGCATACAAACCTGATGTTCTGTGACGGATGACACATGTGGAGAATATTGTGGTCCAGGGAGCAAAGCAATAAAGTGTCTCTAAACAGCAAAAGGTACTTCAGGCATTAGTCTGGTAATGCTTTAATAGTGTTTGCAGTGAATGGAATTCATTTAGGGGACCACTCACATTACACAACCTGCTGGGTTTCTACTTTGTCTGCTACTGTAAGGCAAACCTGTTTTGCTGTGTATTCATTTTGCATTCAGAACCAACAGAGTGAAACTTAATCTTAAAATCAGCTGGATACTACACTAGCCAAAAATGAAACAGTAGAAATTAATCCAATGAGTTTCACACACACAGGCAGAGTCGCAAGCATTCCCTCGTGAATAGCACCAACATGTGTTGACATGTAGGTTCAGATACAGGAGCACATTTTATGAACCATGTACACCCTCTTCTAAATAATTTAAAAGGAAAGCACAAGGACAATGATGACGTACTCAACAACTGTCTGAATAGAGCTCAAAGGATGCAGGTGTGATTATTTAAGCCAAAGGAATTCTGTAGTATGTGGCTTTTACATGCCTCATTTCTTTTCCTGAGCTTTGTACCTTGAAAGAATTTGAGACTGAGAGAAGATTCTGGAACTGGCACATGTTCAAACACATACAGTGGAGTCAAGTATCCATATGGTTCTTTTCATAGAAGATGTCAGATTTTGAGAACTTCATTTTAATCTCTGACGGTAGAGAAAGTCACCTTTTTTTCCCCTTGCAGAATAACCCGAGTAGAGGTTCACACAAAACGTGCTAAGACAAACTAGATCAATCATTTCCTCAGAGACCTTGGGACCTTTCCTTTATTGTCACCAGAAGGTGTAAGTTTTCATTTACCCGGGGGGCTTTTTTAACAGCTATCAGATGGATAAAAAATAAAAAAAAGATTTGTCCTGAAGCTGTACAAGAGAACAAGCTGGAAGATCACATGGAAAGAATAACCTTACTCACTAGAATAAGTTTAAGTCTAGTAAAACCAAGATTTAAGGAGTTCCTTCAAGTGCTGTTTTTTCAAATAGTTTTACAGTAAAGTTGCACATTTGCCTTTCTGTGAAACCTTTTAGGACTGGACTATCCCCTAAGCTATAGAAAATCATTGAAGGGTTACATGTTTAAAACAACAATGCATCATCCCCACAAAGCAAGTACCTTGACTGTAATGTCTCACTTAAATCCTCCATTATATGTCTGTATTCATCCTATTACAGTAACCTGTTACTTTGTAACTTGTTAAACCAACACTGTCCTTTTGTACAGATTTAACAAGAGGTATGCTAAATTGTAATTGTCTTTACCCTGTGACCAAGAACATACTGTACAGACTTAAAACAGGCTGCCTCTTTGCAGTGGGGCCACGCTCACCATGTTATTAAGACTAGTCATCTTGTCTGTTCCTTGCTGTTGGCTGCCCTGTGAACTTTCTTAAGTTGTGGCTAAAATGTGACCCTGTGCTGAGAGTTAAGTTGTTTGACTTTTCTCATGAAAGTGGCTTTCTAAACAGCTGACCCAACCGTTCATGCTGAGGCTATAAATGAAGATGGATGTATAAAAGCAGCTGCGTTCATTAAAGGCTTCGAATATATGAAGTGACTGTAGACTCTTATGACAGTGTCGCCATTCAGGTATGCTGCATATATTCATCAGTGTATCAGATCATGTGATTTTAGAGTCATAAAGTATTACTCAACCAAGAGACATGACAGGGTACACTTTGCTCCACAACTAATCGGAGCTTACCGTCTTTTACAGCTGTCATGTTGGTATTATGACATCCAAACATCTAATGTCTTAGAAGTCCTACTAGTTTAAAAGAATTAAGGCCAAAGTTGATTTTAATTCATGTAAAAAAAAAAGACAAACATGTATGTTATTTCTTTATGAATAATAAAACATATATTTATTGTTCTTCTTCTTTGCAAACAGCATATTCATTACATAAGACAAAGTAATAAGTTACGAGCACTATTAGCATCACTGTGTGATTAACACGTGTTTAGAGATATCCATGACAACACATTGCAGTGACCCCCAAAGAGCCACTGCACTAAAAATGTTTAGCACAATTAATTTACAGACAGCAGCGTACACATATATGTAATGTAGACGTAATTTTTGTCATGCTTTTTGACATAATCCACTACACATAAGACATATAACATATAAGTACCTGAGTTTCATAAAAGTAATTTAAAAAATATGTGTAGATGTTGATATTCCTGGTACCCTATGTAGTTTATTTTTAATTAAACTAGGAGCAGTTAAGCTACAGAAATACATATGCCATGGTCATTGTAGTAAGATGGTAATTACTATACGCTACACAGTATTAGGTAGTTTTTATTATTATTATTATTATTATTATTATTATTATTATTGTTGTTGTTGTTGTTGTTGTTGTCAGGACATGGACAAAAACAATAATCTCACAAATGAAAGGATACCTTATACGAAGTTTTGCTACCAGCTAATTCCCATCTGCTCAGACCCTTTGTCAGGCATACACAGCACACACAGTTGTCATTGATGAGGATCCCTAACTCCAACCATAACCAAAACTCTAATCATAGACAATCAGAACATATGGCGTTTTGTTTATGTTATTTTCCCAAGTCAGAAAACAAAGAATGAAATAACTAGACTCATCCCATCAGTATATAAACAATATAATAAATCTGGGTGATAAAAGGTAGGAAAAAATGTAGACCTCGTTAATGCTGACGTCAGTTATTTATTTTAATCCATTCTTTTGCATGATATGAAAAGAAATGGGCTTAAATGAAAAGGGTGGCTGGCCTTGACGCTATTTCCGTTTTGCAGATTGGTTTAATGGTGCATGTGCATCAGTGTTAACTTTTTTAAAAACAAACATCTGAGTACTAGTTTAGGTCCTGGAAAGGTAACATTTTGGTGTTGTCTAAGATATCACAGTGGTGATAGCATTGTGGTTTCCAGTCCAAAACCACATGAGCTTATGAAGTAAGTTCTTTGTTTTAACTTGAGACCAGCAGGCGACACATATGTTGACAGAAGGAAGCATCACATGTATGAAAACACATGCTTGACACAGAGTGAGTTTCTAATAATTCTGAAAATAGCTACATGTATACAGCATCTCAGTGTGTTACTCATCTTCTTGATGTGCTCTCTAAGGTATTTAACTTCCTCCGTTAAAATTTAAATGTTAACTGATCATGTAAAAGAGTCACACTGGGAGCAGGGAAACATACGCACATGCACAAAAATGTTGCACATGCAAACTGCATCTGAAGAATTTCAGCAGAGCCCTGTGAAAGGGCGTTGTAAAGAAATTAACTGTACAGTTAATCTCGTGCTGTGTGACTCTTGTTTCCATAGGCCTGTTTTTGATAGCTCCCGTTCTGATGGCCCCAACGCACTCCAGTATGTGCACACCACTGAGGACGATCAACGACAGCCTCAGCCACAGACGACGGTACATGGTGAGACACTGATGACATGACTGCAGGCATGTGGTGTGGGGTCAGTGGTGCAGGGTTTAGAGGAAAATGGAATTATTCCGACTTCTTCCTAATTTGGGACAAGCTCCAAAAACGTGTTCTTACAGTTCCCATAATGAAACTTGATATCACTGGCATCTTAATACATGTGGGCTCAGAACTTGTATGTGCATGACAAAAATGCTGCAACGTAAATTAGCAAGGTTTTTTAAACAAAACATAGGTAAACAGATTATTTATCGAGTGACTGACCCACATGGGAACGTAATCATAATTAGAGCATTTATATCTTCCCTGTGTGGGCAAAAACATCGAAAATCGAAATTTCTTTCCATGTGTCAGGTCAAATAGTAAATTTCTACAAAACATAAAAGAAGTAAGTTGGGTTGCAAAATCTATGTGGTAATTTTTGTTTTGCTTTTTCTTTCCTTTACAGAAACACAACTTCCCCATCGAGTACACCATCAAGGTTCATAATAGGGAAATCTTTAGACTGTCAAATATCAGCCGAATGGTAAAGTCATAAGACAACCTCTGTTTTCTATATAAATATTTTGAGAAGGTCTTGCTAATAAAGTCTGAGTGTGAATGGTGATGTGATGAGTTTGTCTTTTTCCTCTTTTTCCTTCATCAGAAGTTAAGAACAGAGGGGTTGAATGACCTGGTTCTCCAGAGGCTGTGGTTTCAAGTGTATCAAGGTGTTTTAAAAAAGGTAAGAACAGAGCTGTTACTAGTGGAACCTGTTTGTGTTGCTGGTTGCTCTGAAATGTGGATGTGTCGTATATCATTTGTTTGTCTAAGAAGAGCTGATGAGAGACTGCTGGGGCCATCGGCCCATTAAGCTAATTAGACATTTAATTGGATGTAGACAAATGCATGACGCACCAGTTAGTCTCAATTTACAGTAATGCTGCAGGGATATAAAACCTTTTGCTTTGGAATTATTTATACCCTTGTTTCTTTTGTAAAACGTATTCATACCCATAATCTTTTCGGTAACTTGTTCTTGTACATGTCAGAGGAGGGGCGAGAGGGGCCTTAAGATAATTTAGCTATCCTAAGTTAACTTTATGGCTGAGCAGGCGGGCTGATGGAAAAATAAACACAAAAGGAAAACAGATTTTTCTACCCTAAGGTAACTCATAGCACCAAATCATAGCAGTCATGTGGTGACTAGAGACCAAAGAATTCCAATGTAATTTTGATTTGTGGCTTTGGCAGGCAAAATAAGAATTGGCTGCTGAAAATGGGTGGGTACCAGGTTGAGCTGATTCTAACTTTGATGGAAAGCGGTTAAAGAAACTACCAATGCGAGCAAAGGTTCACATGACTGACATGTGAAGGGGATGCAGAGCCTGGAAAACCTGGTGCCATCCTGTTTAGCTACACAGCAGTGTGGCTTGAGATGTGGACACAGCTTAAAGTCCAGTTTACATGTGAATGTTTGCTTGGTGTTTAAAACATACTGTCAGGACAAGCCAAAGGAGGCAACTTCAAGCACTTAGTGGTGAACAGAAAATATCAGTAAAAAATCTCCACACTAAGTATAAAAGGCTTCATGTCATGCCAAAGAAATGTCAACAAAATAAATAAAATCTGTAAATTTCACGCCATTTTATTCATATTTCAGGACCACAGACAGCTCATAGTCTTCTTTTTCAGCATGCTGTTCAGTGAACTGGCACATCAATTGCCGCTTACGCTGAACACAGAAAAACAAGTTACTACACACAGACTGGGCCGTAGAACTTTTTAATTAAGCAAATTCAGCAACCACTAGATGTACAATGCAAACAAGCATCAATTTTGTTTTTGTGGGGCATGTTCAGTATGCACATGTGGTCCGGGACAGATTTTTGGCTGATCCTCGATTAGATGGGCAGATGATGAAGTTTACATCATGCCGACCCATGGGGACACATGGAAGCACAAATGAGCTTTAACTTTGCAAGCTAGCTCAGACAGTCCATCTGAGACCTTGACTTCTTATCACATTCACATGACAAACTCCTTGCACAACATCAGTCCAACACACCCTGTCATTTAAGCCAGAATTTTTGGTTCAGTCACTTGCTGCATGCCTGTACATGCCGCTCAGGTTACCACCCTTGCAACCACCCTTAACATACTCCTTCAGGCTGCTTTGTTACCCACATGACATTCATACAATTAGGAAATGTTTGGGAAAATTTGGAAAGATTTTGTGCTTGAGTAACATGAACTAAACCTGCGGGAAAACGCTGTCCACCTCTTGCCTATTGTGCTATAAAACTGAAAGTTCAATACCACCTGTTCCTGTTGAGTGCCTCGATGCTTTTACGTTTGGAGGGGGACCAGTTTCTACAAGCACTGTCAGAGTGGTAGTGGCTTTGACTGGTGGATCTGTTTTTGTTTTAGTTAGCACTTTCAATTTTATTTTATTTTATATGTAAATGTATGTACTAGTGATTAGTCCTACCTCACCAGCCTTGCTACCTCAGTACTACTGTGTGTTTAAAGGTTTGCCCAGAGCCTTGGAGATTCTAATCTATGAATATAGCACGTCTTTGGACTGCTAGTTCATTTTGTGAATTTCTTATAAATAACACTGATAGTGTTCCAGTAATAATAGTTCATAATAAATGGTTACATTTTCCCTTAACACTGTGTAGCATTTAATTATTTTATATTAAACACTTTATGCACTAACATTTCCTTGCTGAACAAATCAACACCTTTAATGCTGTATAAACTAAAGTCAAGTTGAATTTTTAGATCCTCTGGGTTTTGCCAACGAGACATCCTTCACGTCCTTACACAGCCGAGTTGGAAAGACGCTTCAAGGATGCTCAGGCAGTCTTTATGCAGTCACATCCTGCTGAGGTAAGTTTCTATACAGCATGCGCACCAGAGCTGCAGTTGATGTTAGGTATTAATGTTGCTTTGATTGTATTTGTTAATATTTAGAACCTGGGTCTTTTCTATGTTGTAGTGTTTAGTCAAAAGTAAACATTCCAGACCTGTTTATTCAGTTTAGACAGCTTACTAAACATCTGACAATTTAGATTAATTTCTATAGCTGTCCTGCTTGTAAGTTTAGTTTAGTTAACATCCCCATTAGCCGCAGCAGAGCAGCAGATATTCTTCCTATTTCCGAGTTTCAGCAGACAGTAGGTGAAGAAATCTGACCAAGTCTGTGAACATAATTACATCCTGTTTTTCTTTTTGTCCAGCATTTTCTCTTGTCCTCTTGACTGAGTAAAATGGAACATTTGGTACAGAAAGGCGACCTGTCATATTTTCCAGTATCATATTTTTGGACCTTACATAACCCCCAAACCAACCACATTTCATTATATTTGGTAGGAAAATGGAAAATAGGTGCACCAACGTATTGAAACATGAGTAAATATACATCAAAATACAGTATATAAGACAAAAACTGGGTTTATATAATTCTAATGAGCTCCAAAGAATTGTTTGGTATGACCACCTTTATTTAAAGCTTATTCATTCAAAGCCTTCTTTGGATTTTGGCTGCCTGTTGTTCTGTTTTCTGGCTTCAATAACATTAAATCCTGAGAGACCAATCCATGGCTAAAAGAGTTTCAGAGTGTGTTTTTCTGTCCAGGTATGCTCTGGCAGTGTGTTGGGGATTATTTTTTGATGCTGAAAAATCAAACCTCTACCAATCAGATGATTTCAAGATGATATTCCATCAAAACGTCAAAAAATCAAAATTAAAATTGGATCAAAATCTCAAAACCAATTTTAACAAGATCTCCATCACCACTGGCTGAAATCCAACCATGGCAGAGCATCCAATGCACTTTACAGATGACTGTAGACACTCACTGTTGTACCTCTCTGCTGATCTCCTCTGTATGCATTGGTGACGATTTGAACCAATAATGTCACATTTGGATTCATTACTCCAAAAGATTTGGGCTGATTCCAGTCCTTGTGCAATTTGGCATACCTCAGCCTTTCATCGCTGTTTCCCTTCCTTAAAGTGGTTATGTTAGCTATCTAGTGACAGAAACCAAGGAAACTAAACCTAAACAACAGTCTAAAGGGGTCACTTTGCACTTCCTTGGTTGTAACAATGAGTTTTATATTAAAAAAATATAAGGAAGAAAATAATAACAAGGATATATTTTCACTCTCTATCTTTAAAGCAGTCAGTGGTTCTTCATTGTTTGCCTGCTCCAGTAAAATGGGAAAATCCACCTGTTAGGTTGTAGAGAACTGTGTGGAGGAGAGCCTGTTTGAGTCAGGTGCACTGGTGGTTCACTCGACCAACAAGTTGAAGTCTGACATTACCCTCTCTGTGTTTTATTTTTTTCCTTCTCATGTTCGGTGTACGGACAAAGTGGTGAAATCAGCCTGCATGCCGACAAGATGCAATCAGCGCTGTTTTATGTGATCTTAAGCTGTTATTTAACCTCCAGTTTTATCAGGATTAAGTCTTTCTTTTCACAAATTCCCAACCAGCTTAAAACATCACAGGTTACTCTATTACAAACATTTTCTGAAGCATGATCAGAAATCTTAACATCTCTCTGGAGGTCAGAAAGGAAGAAAATCTCCACGTTACAGTTGGGCTTTTCCCCCCCTCACTTCTATTGGAGGTAGTAAAAAGTATTGACTAAGGTGAAATAATGTGTTTAGTCATAACAATTTCCACACCAGTATGCCAAAAGAATTATTATAACAAAAAAAAATAAGGTTTCCAAAAGCTATATCATGTCTTCTTAGGGGGCTAATGAGTTTTTGGTCTGTCACACACATCAGCCAATCAAATGAATCCCATCCAATCCAACTTTATTTATATAGCACTTTAAAAACAACAAAGTTGACCAAAGTGCTTTCCAATAATAAAACAGAGATAGCAGTTAAAAACCATATATTAAGCAGACAGAGAAATAAATATAAATAACAATAAAATAAATACAAGATAAATACAAAATAAAAAGAAGATAAAAATAAATCTGTATACATATTAAATACATGAGTAAAATAGACAATAAGATTTACAATGAATAAAATTGACAAAATAAAAAGATTAAGAGTGACCAACAGCTGACTAAAACTGACTACAGGCTGACTCTGGTCCTACTCCTAAAAGCCTTTGAAAAAAAGTGTATTTTTTAAAAGATTTAAACATTTCAAGTGTTGGGGCCAGCCTAATATGGAGGGGCAGTTTATTCCATAATTTGGGGGCCACAACAGCGAAAGCCTGGTCCCCCCGGTGTTTCAGTCTCGACATGGGGACAGCAAGGAGCGACTGGTCAGTTGATCTGAGAGACCTTTGTGGAGTGTATCGGTGTCGAAGGTCTGACAGGTAAGAAGGAGCCAGGTCATTTAAAACTTCAAAAGCAAACAATGCAATTTTAAAATGAATTCTAAAATGGACAGACAACCTATGTAAGGAGGCAAGAACAGGGGCTCACATTTGTGTGTACCTGTCAGCAGGCGAGCAGCAGCATTCTGGACCATTTGCAAGTGGGATAGTGAAGCCTGATCAATACCAATATAAAGTGTATTACAATAATCAAGTGGTGAGTGGTCACAAATGCATCTAAAACTCTCTAAGTCACAAAAGGAGATAATAGGTTTGACTTTAGAGAGCTGCCTCACCTTACAAAAGCCATTTCTCACCACTGTATTTACCTGAAAATGAGAGAAAGGTGGCATTAAAAAAACATAAAATATCTCACAGACATGCTGATAGATGTTAGGATTCCTCATCATGCTGCAGTAAGAAAGTTAACTATGTTTGTGACGTAACCTGCCACATACATGTTATAAACTGATAAACCCCGATAAAACTGGGGGTTGAATTACGCCTTTATATGACATAAAATAGAGCTGATGGCACGTTGTCAGGATGCATCTCGTCTGCTCTTCTCTGACCTGTTTGGTCTGTCCACCTGTCCTTTCAGTTTGTCTGCTGTAGACAGCTCTTTAGGCATGTCACTTCTTCTTTTGTCCACCGCTTGTCAAGTCTACTTCATATCCCAGGCCTTTCAGTTAATAGATCTTTGGGAATCATCTTGTCGGTGCAAAAATGCTGTTTTATGCCAGTCAGAGTGTGCTAGCTTTGGGTCTGGACTGAAAATGACTGAACAAGCCGACTTTGAAAGTCTAGTCCTGATCGTTGCTGGATAATGGCTTTGCCATTATAGCTGACCACTATAATGATTGAATGAACTTTCTCCTGTAAGGGTTAGGGTTAGGGCAGAAAGTCACTTTTACTACTGTGGGTATATTTCCCTTTAATTTTTTCACAATTACTAGTTAACCCAATAGTTTATATTTTCCATTAATTACCTTCCTGTTATATCCAAGCATTGTAAAATTTGAAGATCCAATTTTAACATTTACCAATCCAAAAGCTTTAAAATTGAAAAACTGCTAAATAAGTGAAGTTGGTGTTAAACAGAATACAAAAAGTTAAAATTCAGGATACTCCATAAATACATAACTGGCAGACCAAGTGAATCTATTTTCCACAAGTCGGTGTAAAAGGACAGGTCCCGAGTTTCCTTTTAAAGGAATCCACACAGTTGGTTAATTTTAGGTTTGCGCTCAAAGCAAAGCATAGGTTAGATACCAGAGCCTCAAAACTCTAATCACCCTGAGCCCTTGGGTGGCTGCAAGGCTGGTCTGTACAGGTATGAGGTGTGTGAAATGAAACTTTTGGAGACTAAAGGTCAACCTGGACAGCTGGCTGTAATATGAATTAAAAGCATCTGCTGGCTTTCTCTGAATGGAAATGCAGGGATAATGTGGAAAAGATGCGATTTATGGTGATCAATCTTACTTTTTTTGGTTTATCAAGTAAGCTTTTGTACTATTTTATCAAGTCACATAAGTGTATACAGACCTTATAGCTGCCAGTGTCACATTCTAAGATAGAAGAGATTTTATTCTAATAACACCTTATTGATCCCTATTTTTTGATTCAGGCTAACTGACTCACTATGTGTTTGTGTTTTTTGTGTGTTTAGGTCTTCCAAGAGGACCTTCCAGAGAAAATCCAGGACATTTGGGATAGTTTAACAGAAAAGCCTGAAAACATGCCAGAGTCTAGTTGGCGATTTGCTACTCCAAAGTCTCTCTTGGACAACTTGTGCCGCACCATGTACTGCCTCTTCAGTGAATGCTTTTCCAACGCAGACGTTCAGGAAGACTGTAAGTATAAGACAGGAAATGACACTGTAGGCTGTAATTTGTTTAAGAACCATCCCATGTCAGCTTTTAAATGGGTTCATTTCGTTAAGATGATGTCGGGTATAAACTCCCCAAACAGCTCATTACATAATGTCAGTCTTGATGTTAAAGAGGCATCAGCATTTGTTTTTCAGATTTTGGATTATCTAAGATTCTGCAGATGTTTCCTGTCAGACAGGACTAAATATTTTATGAAACTCAGGGATGATAGAGTGGAAGTACATTTTTCAGTAACGTAGACTTTCCAGCAAGGAAGCAAGTGTCAAATTAGATGCCTTATAAGAAGGCTGTGGTTGGGAATCATGACAGTATACACACATTATTTTTTGGGTTCTAGCACTGCTGTGTTATGTAAGTGTCCTGCCTGGAACACCTAGCCAAACTTTTGATGCTCTGAGTTGTCCTGCAGCCTTTGCCAAACCATCTGGATGAACTGTGTCTCAAGATTTTGATAAAGTGAAATGATTGAGCACACACATGCACAGAAAAACACCGTTTGCATTTAACTTTTGTTTAAGACTCGCATCAGCAACAACGTTAAAACCACCTGACAAAACAGCACGAGAGGCAGAGTTTTTCACTGGATGACACAACTCCAAAGGGGATTTGTTTCAAAAAGGTCTCGGATCTGTTCTGGCATGATCTTTCACTTGCCTGAAAGAGAAGTTATATTGTTATACTGATTATGTGGCAATAAAACATGATGAGGAAAGCTAATGTGTAAACGCCTAAATTAGTTTCTCTTCTCATTTGTTTTTCAGACTGTGAAGTTTCTCATTGGCGGAAAGGCAGGAAGAAAGACATGCAGCCCGAAAGCTGAGAAGAAGCAAGCGGAGTCAAGTTGTCCCTAGTGATTAGGGATTAGTATTATTTCCCTTGAGCTATAGGGAGATGGGTAAAAGGACAATACACACTGAAATGAGAGTTCAGACCTGATTTGTGAACATCAATAAGTCTTTTCCAAATCTGCTATATAGAGCTAAGATTATCCAGAGTTTGTCCTCATAACTCTGTGTGTCAAAGCAGATGGAAATTAAAGACATAATATCTCTCAAACCTTTGGGAACCTAAAGGCTTTCTGTTAAATGACATCAAATGAATTTTTGAGTAAAAATGCCAGCTCATTGTCTCTTGGCATCCTCTCAGATTAAGATTATAGCGTTTTTGGATCAGATTTGCTCATGTTCACAAATAGCGACTGAACTGATGTGTGGTCAATATTTTATCTAAGGTGGATTCTTTCTAAACAAAGGGTTAATGCTCACCTGCAGCTTCGCCAAACCACTGCTCAAAAAGTTGTGATGCGTTCCTGCGAGTCTGTGTGGTTCACGTCAGAGGCCGAGGACAGATTGGGAAACTTCAGCTGACTTTGTACATTTGCTAGAATTCTCCTCTTTTGAACATCAGTGTGCTAAAGCAGGAGCAGTGTATATGAACTCCAAGCGTAAATGCAAACTGATAACTACTGGTCTTATTCTACAGTTGTTGACTGTACATTTTTATACAGCTGCCCAGACTGCTTAGCCAAGGCTGTTGAAAAATGTGTGCTCATTTTGGCTCCATTTTATGTATTTTTTTCCTATATGTTTATTATGCAAAGAATGAGATTGGAAAATGCATTCATCTCCCTCCATCCAACCTATGCATTTTATACTTGCTGTAGATCTCTTATGATTTTTTTTCATGAGGCAACTATTAAATAATTTGAGGACTTACTAGCTAAACAAAGCTCAAATGATTGTTAGCATTTTAAATATGAAGTTAAATCACAGTCAGATGTTGTTTGCCCCATAGTTAAGTTATATTCTATAAAAAAATAAAAAAAAATAATAATAATAATAATAATAATAATAATAATAATAATTGACACTTCTGTCTGTTGTCCATTATCTTGAGTTACCCCTCACAGAATTTTAACTATGAACATGTTGGAAATGCACACAAAGACAGTTGCAAAACCGAAATGTAAAATTCAGCTCAGTGTAGTTGGAACATTAGAAATCTTGTGGGATTGTTCTCAGCATTCAAATAATTTTCAACACATCCATACTGAGATTTAATATCAGGTTCCTCTGCCATTTTCTTTCTGTCAGAGTTAAGAGTTACCCCTTAAACGATTCAAATCGAGGCAAGGTTATGAGAAGGTAAGGCAAAGAGAAACATACAGTTTACTACAGAAGTTGGACTTTTGGCTGACAAGCACTGTAAATATGTGGAAAAAAAGGAAAATGTAGGCAAGTCAACAAGATTTTCATGCAATATCACTTAGAGTTTAAACCTTTACGCACGGGAACAAGCTTCAAGATGCATTTCAAAGTTCACAAAAAGTGTTATGGTGCTTCTTCAGTGGAGTTTTGGACTTAGAGATTCTATTCTACATGTGCAACTATATAAATACTGACTGAAAAAATGTTTTTATGATAGGCGTAGTGCACATAAAAAAACAGACCCATCCATAGTTCTGTGGTTTCCTCAGCAGCTAGTGTTTCTGTTTGGAGTGCCAGTGAAGATTCACTTAAAAAAGGCCCTCTACACAGATTTGTCAAATACAGTAGTCGACAAACGTAGTGAAGTAAAAAGTAGTGCAGTTTCAGCTTTCTTCGGGGTGTGTTAATAGCCAGAAATCTAGCTTCTTACATGCTGAAATGTTCACACCCTAACCTCTTCTTTGGTAATAATTAACTCTGATTCTCAAAATTGCTAACTAACCAGGGGCTTGGATGTGATCATGTACACTTCAATACAGTAAATGCTTAACATCTTTACTGAGCAGCTGCTGTGTCAAGGCAACATCAACAACTGTAATGGGTTGCATAGTTTTTTCCCCCACACTGGAGCACATCTCTGTGGAATTTTTCTTATCTCTTATTATCAGCCAAACTGCAGTTTGGTGGGGGAAAAAAACAGCTGGATGAGGTAAAATGAACAGAAAAGTAAGCAAAACAGCAAGCCATTAAAACAAAGCAGCTTATGCTAATATTTTCAGCTCGCAACCATCAATTAATTTCAGCTGCCATAGCCATATTTCTAAACTCGGCCATTCAACACATTTAACTACTTAAGGCAAGGGTGAGCAGAAGTTAAAGGGAGTTACCTAAAGGTCATTTGTTCTTATCAGGATTGAAAGCATACTTCATATTTTCTTGTTGTTTGAGTAAAACTCTATTATACATGCTTCATTTGATTATTGATGATGGTGACGTGAAGTTGAGGCTAGGTGTTCGAAAGAAATCTTGAGACATACAGAAACATAAACATAACAGTAGAAAAAGAAAACAGGCATTCTGGTAGTAGTTTCAATGATTTGTGAGGCATATTTGGCTTATTTAGGAAACTTAAACTTTATGAATACAAATAGACTTCGTTTAAAGAGATTTAATCTAATTAACTAACTCACTATGTTAACAGGTTCTCCACTGAAGTATAGAAGGCAAACCTTAAACCTGCTTTGAGACAATGCTGAGAAAAACATTACCATTTGAACTGATATAGTTCTTTAATGCACAAGTTTCAAGCAGTTAAAAAGAGCAGCGTTTCATAACGTTACAGCATGAAGGGTGGGGTCGGCCTTTGAAACTGTTTGGCACGGTCACTTACTGAAGACAATCTGCTCACCCCATCATGTGCCACTGTTTTCCTTAGACTGTTGTTTTTCCTCATTATACTTTCCATGCACAGCGTTCATTGCTTTCAAATCCCAACATACTGGTTCAGTCAGTTTATGGTGCAACATTCCCATATCCCCTTATTTGCGTTAGGGCTGAATGTATTTATTATCATTAGCAATGCTAACAGTTTCAAAAACACACTTGAAATGCCTGTGCAAACATTGCAAAAAAAAAAGAACTGGTTTATCGTACCAGCTAGGAGCAGTCATTATCCTTCCCTTTAAGATTGTTATGTTAAAGGATACTGTTTGTTGAAATGAAACATGAAAGAATTTAACTTAAACTAAAATAAATTATATATATACACATATATATATATGACTTAATAATGAAATATAACATTGAAATATAAATGTAAGTTATCCAAAACTGCATTACATGTATTTGCATTTTTTGCACATTAGAAAAATTGTTTCATTTATAAGACTTCCGTATTTGTTTCTCGTATGGAAAAATGCTTTCTAATTTGTTCATGAATTCACTCCAAACATGAAATATACACGTAAGCCTCGCAAGCCTGATCTTGTCACTCTTTTGGAGGGAGAACGATGATTTTCATATATTATATTTAGCATCAGATTTTTAAGGGGCAAAACTTGGGTTGGTTCTCATGTGCAAAAGATGCTCTGGAATGATGTAGACAAGGAACAGCAGAAATTGGTGTATTTCTATCACACTTTCTCAATCACATGTAAATGTATGGCTGTTTTTTGTAACCACAAGAGCGAGATGTATTCGAAAATCCCTTTTTGTGAAAAGTAAGTAATATTTCCTGCCTGGCAAACACATGGATGGCTTATTGTCAGAAAATAGATCTTAGGAACAGATTTGTTGTTGTTTTTTATACTCGAGATATTGAATATTTATTTTCTTTTTTTAAAAACTGTACTTTGCTATAAGAATACTTTTATTAAAGAAATAAATAATAAATTGCTATTTTTTATCAACTAACCCTGTATTCAGTCCTGTGTTTTTGGAAAGAGTGTCCAAATATGATTGTGCACTATTATTTTACTATTTTTAAGAATCTTGAATAATAAAATGCAAGTTGGGGATTTTTTTAAAAAAGTTTAATTGATTATTAGTAGAGCTACTGTGCAGATTGATGTTTTAAAATTAGTTTATTATTAACTAATCAGCGTTACTTAATCAGCATTGCATAAACATATCAGAAATATAATTTATCTGGCTGTGAGGAGTATTTTTTAAACTATACTATGCAATGAATATAATAGTAGGTAGTGTGCAGCTTGCCATGTGACATGTGGTCGGGGGGGGGGGGGTCCTATTCCTCTGCGGGGCAACCTGCATATGGCCATTAAAGCATTCAATTCAATTCAATTCAATTCAACTATTCAAAATTCTTATTTTCTTCCACCCTGAAAACAGATTAACGAATAAAATCGTGAAAGCTTACTCAGTCTAAAGTTCGTTTTTTTGTTTTGTTTTGTTTTGAAATCATTATGCGAACGCATGTTGTTTGTCCCTCTGCATTCACCGTAGCCCATCCAACAACTTCCGACAGGAAGTTACGATATGGGAGAATGACAGAAAAAAGCTTTTTCGGATGTAAAAATAGTTTGAAAATGAGTATAAAAACTCCCAGTTGCGTTGTAGTTTTTAAATTGCTTCGAATACGAGTTCTCTTTTTTGCAATAGAAATTAAATGTCCTCATCAGGGCATCAATGAGAGGTTTATTTTGAAAGTTCTACCCGGAAGTCTTGTGTTTGATCTCGGCTGGCCTACTTAACAGCAAAACAAGTAGGTGTTTACTGAAGTTGTGTTATAAAACAGTCACTGGGCACCGACATTTAAAAAACAAAAACTGGACAATGGTCTCCGGCGGTGCAATTCAGATACCGAGCCGTCTCCCGTTGCTGCTGACCCACGAAGGAGTTCTTCTCCCGGGCTCCACGGTCAGGTTCAGCGTGGACTCCCCACGGAACATGCACCTTGTCCGAGAGCGGCTGCTGAAGGGGACTTCGCTGAAAAGCACCATCATAGGGGTGATTCCTAACACCAGAGACCCGGAGCACGACACCGACGACCTCCCCACGTTGCACAAGTAATGAACTTGTAGCTGTGTAGCTTTCTGTGGGTTTACACGGTTGTTGTGTGGAGGTGTGACATACAGCTGATGGGTCCCCTTCAAGTTGTCATAAACGTAACAGGTCACAACATCTCTGCAGGATAAGGAAGAAGATCAAATATATTTCCAGTACACAGGAGTATTTTATGTGTTTAGACGTCTGTAGTGTGTGTCATCGTCAGGGGAAATGTACTGAATATTGGGTAAATCGAAACTCAATGCATATTTGAGCATGTACTTTACCTACCCCCCTTTTTTAAACTATTATTTGTTCTAGAAACATCTCCACTTTTACTGTAGCCATGAAGTCGGAAACGGCCGGGCAAGCACAGAGAAGCGGACTTTAGCCTTTAATCAGTGGACTCCAGATCAGTAGGTTACCAAACAGCGTGCTCCTGTCTCTAGATTGGTTACCAGGAAAAAGATGGTTTGTCCGACACTGAGTTAATCTGTGAGGAAGGTGGTCATGCTATCTTAAATCATAAAAATTGTAGAACATTTTCTCAGATTTCCCTAAAAAAATGTACGATTTCAATTTTGATTGAATGATTGAATGAATGATTTAAGGCTTTTTTGAAATATATATGACTAGTTTAAATGTGAAAAATAAATCAAGCAATTGTATAAAGTTCCATATTTAAAGATGCACTAAAAAAAATATGTGACACTGCAAAATGAAACCTGTAGAAGAAATACTTGAAATACTAGAAGATATCAGTGGGTAAGTTAATCCAAATGAAACACAATTCTGCCATTTCCAGGTGAGGCTCTGATTATAACTGAGGTAATAATTATAACTGAATTAAAGGCTTTTATCTTTAATATTTTCTGAGATATATTCATGCTGTAATGCACCCTCATTATTTCCGAGTGCAAAAAAACCCAGACCATTTTTCAAGAAAATGTATCTTGAAAACTACTAATATCTTACCAACAACAAAAATCACTGTTTTTTTTTTTTTTTTTTTTTTCAAAAATTAAGAGCTTTTTTTTTAGGAAAATCTGAGATAGTTGAGCAGAAAGACCACATTGATTTGAGATGGAATGAATAAATCCTTATAATCCTCTGCAGTGAAGGACAGGAAATACTTGCACTTGCTCATGTAAATGTTTGGCGCTTATACTTAAAATGTAACAGGGTTTGAATGAAACTCAGATGGTTGATTTTCCACACACTACAGCACACTTGCTGCTTATATGAAGCTTAAAAGACACTGTGAAAGGCTCCAACACGATCAGAGGTGTGAATACTGAGGCTTTGCAAGCATTTAAAATCAGAACAGTTTGTTGTACTGCAGAATGCAACCTTTCAGTGAACTGCTTTTCAATGGCCACCTCATCTGTCACACACTCTCTTTCTCTCTCTGTGTGTGTCTGTGTAGAATTGGTACAGCAGGGATTGCAGTGCAGGTAGTGGGCAGTAACTGGCCCAAACCTCACTATACCCTCCTCATCACTGGACTGTGCCGATTCAGTGTATCGAGTCTGTTAAAAGAGCGACCCTTTGTCCTGGCAGAGGTAAGCTGTCGGTTTGATTTGATGTTAAAATATTGGAGCAATTTTTTTTTGTAAGATAAACCTAAGTTTCTGGATGTGCTGTCTATTTAATGAGCGACAGTGGTCATCATAAGTGTTCTGTTTTGTACCTGTAACGAAGCAGTAGTATCACTACATACTGATGATGTACTCTGATTTAGTCAATGTAAGAAGTATTCTTTCCTGCAACACTGTATTTACTAGTTGCCTGAGGGTAGATAATAAGAAATGTTTTGCTATTTCCTGTTGTTGTACAGCAATATTCTTTGTAAACACACTGTTAATGTTTTTTATGCTTATAGTAAACATGACAAAAGTTTCAGGTAATGGGTTCCCATACTGTACAAGTGATCCCTGTGAGCCAAAAGCTCAGATTTCTGCACAGACTGCTGCAAACATTTTGCTTCTGATTTGGTTTTCTACTCTCAGCTTTACATCATGCCAATAATAGATGGCTTGGTCCTTAATATGCTAATCTCAGGCACATAGCTCAAGCCTTCTTTTTCCAAGGTCCAGCGCATCAGAAGAAATCTGACTAAAAAAGGGGGAAACTAGATTTAAATTGGTTTGATTCAAGCAGTAAAGTGGAGGACTGCACCAAGGTCAAGTGTAATATTGAATTTTCTGAACTGTAAATCATGCAAACCCACAAGTAATAGAAGTAGCATTAGTGAGAAAAGGAGCAATAGCTGAACATTATAAATCCCCTAAAAAAACCCAACAAAAAATCAGTCTGAGAAGTTAAAGGTCACCTGATTCCACTACTTGCCAAGTCCAGCAAGAGGTTCAACAGAAGTTATAAGCTGCAGAAATAAGTTGTTGGCAAGTCAGCCAGACATGCCTAAGGCTGAGATTATAACTCCTTGTGCACATGGGAAGCTACAGACACACAGTTGTTCTATTCAACAACTTTCAAGTCAGCTTAGGATGCCTGATGCATTTCATACGTGCTCCGTAGATCTACATCTATAGAAAGATGGATTCCTTATTCGGAAAGTCTTGGCAGTTTCCCTCCATGAATTACTACACGTTTGATTTTCTGTAAATCATTTAAAAGTCAAATTGTGCAGATGTGGGTGGACACTGATCGTTGTGTAGTATCTCTTTCAGGGGCGTTTTGGGGTTTCAGCACATGTGCAGCTGGCCATTCAGAGTAGGAGTGCTCACTTTTCTAAAACCAACGCATCACTTGTACTGCGGCGTAATCACTGACCTCCACTGTCTAGTTATTAAGATGGGATTAAATTGAGTGATAGTGAGAATACATTTTTATTACCCGGTGTGAATTAAAAGTTCTTTTATCAGCATTTAAACAAGATCATCTAGTGTATGACTTTTATAACACCATTTCATCATTAAATAAAGTAATGAAACATGTTTTAGCATATTAGAAATGCACAATACACAAGTATGTGTGGCCTCACAATGTGACTCACTTTTTATTTAAAAAAAAAAAATGACAGGTGAAGCAGTTAGATCAGTTGGAGCGGTATACGACCCCACAAAGAGATGCCACCGCAACAGATGATGGAGAGCTGGGGGAGCTGTCGGAGAAGTTCTACCAGGCTGCTGTACAGGTGTGTGTGTGTGTGTGTGTGTGTGCGCGTGTGTGTGTGTGTGTGTGCGCGCGTGTGTGTGTGTGTTTAAGAATTTAAGAGAGTGAGGTCGTAAAAAAATTCATGTCTTGAAAAACAGATTAAGTTAAAAACAAAAATGCCTTTGTAAGGAGGAAAAAAATGCCAAAAGGGCGGTGCAGACTTGAAGAGTGATGACTGACGGACATGTGAGGGTTCTTTAATATACACTAAAGTGTTACATACACACAAGAGCTGTTGCCTACAAAGAGACTTGCATTCAGCAAATTACTTTATATGTGGACTAAAACATTTCTTGATTTTTCACAGCCTGCAAAATCTATGATGTGTTTGTATATTCAAAAATATATATAATTTAGGCAAAAAAAATTAGACACAACAACTGAAACGACTTTAACATGTGTTGTCTTGAAGAAATATTAACTGAAGTTGGATTGGGGCCAGGCTGTATTTTAATGAAATACCACTTGCATTAAAATACTCTAAACTGTGAACATTCGTGTTTAGATTTGTGGAAAATTGAGGTATAGTTAAAAAGAATCATCAGAATTGAAAAAGCAGTGGAAAACATTTTTAAAACACCTACTGGTAAAATGCTGCCCCCTGCTGGCGAAAGTGTTGTTAAATTTAGCAGAATGTGCTTTTTGTTTTGTTTTTTTTACAAAAATTACTTTTGAGGGGAAAAACAGTAAATTTATATTGTTATTTGAAAATAGTCCCTTAAATTATAATGCACGTTTTAAAAAGTTTTATTTAGATTATGAAATGGCTAAATAAACACTAATTGTTGATACCCAGTCAACTATTCGATTTTTAAAAATGTATTTATTTATTTTTTTTCATCTGTAAGTCACCGCTGGCAGATGATTTTGTAAAACAGCTCATGTCATTCTGAATAATTTTTTAGGCTGCTGTGCACGCACAGCGTGTGCTGTCTCCACAGCTTGTCAGTTATTTTCTGGTTAGAATCTTTTCTCTGCTTTGGCTGCCAAACAGCCTAATATAGTTCTACTGTCATATTTAAATATTTGCTAGTTGTTGTTGTTTTTTTTTCACCACAAACTACTTTTTTTCCTCTCAAGTATTAACTTTGGCCATACAGCTCAGTTTAAGTGTCATCTATCCACAACAATAACTCATAAAGCAGCTGTTTCATCTAGATGTTGCTTTGAATATATCAGATCCTGACTTCTGTACTGAGGTTGGAAGTTGGTTTCCTCCTGACTTCCTTTCACCTAACCCTGTTTGCACATCCAACCAGCAGAGTGGGATGTACAAATCTATGTACAAATTAAGTTTGTGCGTGTCATTTTACAATGAAGCGATCTGCAGATTGCAGCTGCCACTGTATGCCCTTTACTTATAAAACTTCATCTCAATGTTTGCATTGGCAGTTTATGTAAGAGCTTGTTGTCAATTATTTTCAAAACTTACCAAACTGTGAAATATGAACATTTTTGAGAATAATAAGAAACAGGCAACTTTTTAAAAATGTAATATAGAAGTAAACTGTGCTGTGCTGCAGCATGATGTGATGGATCAGACTGAAGATGAAAACATACACATGCAGTTGGACTTGATTTATTGTGTTTTTTTGTTTTTGTTTACACATTTACACGTGTGTGTGTGTGTGTGTGTGTGTGTGTGTGTGTGTGTGTGTGTGTGTGTGTGTGTGTGTAGTTGTTAGGTATGTTAGACATGTCTGTTCCAGTCGTGGCCAAGTTCAGGCGCCTCTTGGACAGTCTGCCGAGGGAAACTCTACCTGACGTTGTTGCCTCGATGATCCGCACCTCAAACAAGGAGAAACTCCAGGTGAATTCAAACTGTATACACAATCAAAGCTTTAGAAGAGCCACATGTTTTTATTCATTTTTTAGAAATCAAAAAGGTTTTTAATCTTGATGCAAACAGTTTCTGCAAGTGTTTCTAACTTCAGTTGCTCTGCTTTTGCCAAATACCCATTTTAGCCCAAACTACTTGTGGCCCCTCCTGCAGTAAATCCTAGGTTTACTGCAGGAAGGGCATCCTACATCCTGAAATATGGTGATCCTTTTGATATGGCAACTACTTGGGACGTAAAGGGAAGCGGACTCTTCTTCTTCCTCTCCCCTTCTTCTCCTTCTAGTCTTCTTCTTCTTCTTCTTCTTACTCCTCCTCCTACTTCTTCCTACTGTTCCACTTTTTACATTTTCTTACTTTTCTTTTTCTTCCTCTACCTTTCTTTCCTCTTCTTCCTTCTGTTCTACGTCCTTGATATCCACAATATTTGACAGTATACTTAGAGGAGAAAGAGAGAGGTCACTATTTGTTGGGGTTTTGAAGCAATACAGGAACTTTCCACTTATTCTGCCATTTAAGGATTTAGTGCTTTATTTTTTAGCATGAAAGCACACATTGATGTGATTTTTGACTTTTTTTTCCCTCAACAATAAATCTTCACAATAAATAAAATGTTTTTTCCATGTGCTGTGAAGTCCTGGATGCATTGAGTTTGGAAGAGCGCTTTAAGAAGGCCCTGCCCATGCTGACCAGACAGATAGAGGGACTAAAACTGCTGCAGAAAACCAGGAAGACGAGTCCTGATAATGAGAAGAGGGTAACAGATGTGCAGTCCTTGTATGTTCACACTGTGATTTACATTCCAAATCTCGTGCTCACATTTGGGATTCCCCTCTGTTTAGGTGTTGGTGCGGAAAGGTACAGTGTTCCCAGGTCGACAGTTCAATCTGGATGAGGAGGATGAAGATGATGATGGTGATGACACAGCAGCCTTGGAGAGGAAGGTTCATGGGGCGAACATGCCTGAAGCTGCCCTCAAAATTTGCCTGAAAGAACTCAAAAGGTAAATTTCATACAACATATACACAATATAAAGTGTATTTGTGCATACTTCACAAACACAAATAATGCTGCTGCTTTTACTTGTTTAGACCATGTTTAGATCTGGCTCTGTTTGGTGTCTGTGTAAACATGATCCAGTACTGTAATTAGCCTTAAATACTTCAGTTAGATTGTTCATGTTCCTCTTCAATCTGTCAGATTGAAGAAGATGCCTCAGTCAATGCCTGAGTATGCCCTGACCAGAAACTACTTGGACCTGATGGTGGAGTTGCCATGGAGCAAAAGCACCAAAGGTAAATTAATCTGCAGACAACTTTTAATGGACGTCAGCTCAGTTAAACTCTTTGGGTTTGGTAGATTTCACTGAGCCGTAGTAGTGACAGTAAAAACTTTACAGACTTTGACATTGAGAAGGCTTTGATATGCAGCTGTCTGCTTTCCAGGTCAA